CACCACCATACCATCACCATCCCTGCACCATCACCTCGCCACCCCCCTAGTTACCATAGCGTCACCTCCGTCACCATCACCACACCATCGCCATTTCCTCACACACCATCACTTCACTATCACCACATTCGCCACCAACTCCGCCGCCACAGTCACCATGCGCGGCGTGATGGTGAAAGCGTGACGTGGAAGAGAAGCGCTGTTCGTGACAAGGAAATTCTCCAAGACGAATTCACGCAGCGATGGCGATTCCCAAATGCCGATCATTACTGGGTGATGATGGTGATGATGGTGATAAATGTTGGTGATGGTAATGGTGATGGTGATGATTGATGATGATTGATGGTGGTTATGGTTATGGTTATGGTAATGGTGATGATAATGATGATTGGTGATGGTGATGATAATGGTGATGATATATGGGGTCCGTGGAAGTAACAAATAGAGATCGAAGGATGCATATATACAGATATATTCACGGACGAAGAGTTAGGTACATACAAACATACATACATAGACAGGTTGACAAACAAACAGACATACAGATAGACAGATAGATAAATGGATAGACACAAAGATGGAATAAAGAGGATAGAAGATTTAAAGGACAGAAAAAAAAAAAAACACAAACACCCAAATCAAAAATCCAGATTAAAAAAAAATGCCAAACAACCTTCGTAAGCAAAAGAGCAACGGTTAACATCACATGCAAAGAGAGAGAGAAAGGGAGGAGGGGGGAGGGAGAGAGGGAGGAGAGAGGAGGGAGAGGGGAGGAGAGGGGGAGGAGAGATGGAGGAGAGAGGGAGGGAGAGATGGAGGGAGAGGGGAGGGAGAGAGGGAGGGGAGAGAGAGGGAGGGAGGGAGGGAGGGAGGGGAGGGGAGGGAGGGACAGGAGAGAGAGAGAGGACGAGAGAGAGAGAGAGAGAGAGAGAGAGAGAGAGAGAGAGAGAGAGAGAGAGAGAGAGGAGAGAGAGAGAGAGAGAGAGAAAACAGAGAAACAGAGAAACAGAAAGAAATAGAAACATAGAGAAAGAGAGAGACAGATAGAAACAGAGAAAACAGAGACAACAGAAAACAAAGAAAAAGAGAGAAGAAAGAAAAGAGAGAGAATAAACCTCGCCGAAGAAACCTCAACCCGGCAAGATCCGCGAATCCCCGGCCCAAACACAGCCCGATGGAACCCGCCCGACCTAATCCACGACGCCCATTAATTATTCAGCCTTTCATTAAGAATTTCCTCGTCGGCATACACGACTTGGCACATTCTGGGGGCAAGAGAAGTCGCAAGTGACTCCGGGGCGCGAGAACATAAAACCCCTGAGAAAATAAATTGAAGTAAGTAAAGAGAATTGAAGTAAGTAAAGAGAAGGTAATAAAATATATATATATATGTATAACACGATTTAATTTTCGTATCTTAGTCTACCGCTGGAAAATGTATCCACAGGTGCGCTTCAAGTTTGTTTCAAAGGTATTTTAGTTGAAATCATTTTTTTTTTTTAGTTTCTCCTTCAAGCAACAGAAAACGTGGAAGTGCCGTCAGGTGTGTACCATCTTTCCCGCAAATTACTCGAAGTCTTATGTTTGAAGACAAGTGAAAGAGGGGAAAAAATGGCAGAAAAAAAACACATTACACAAACTAGATTTTAAAAATAAGTTGTTATGGAATTGAAAAAAAAAGGAAAATGGACATACGTAAAGGAAATATATCTTCCGTTTCGAAGACGGAAAATACCTCATCTTTCCTTCCTTCTCATTTTTCCTTGTCAGTTAATTATCAGCCTTTATTCCTCTGTTTACGTTGAACCAACTTCTAAACAAAAATCCAAATCTCGTAATAGCAGATTCAAGAACTCTGAAGAAACACTAGAAAAAATAGTGAGCAAAATGCTTCACGACTTTCCAGTTTTAAATTAAAAAAGCACAGACGGTTTAAACTGGAACTTCCAAGAAAAATACACAAGAATGGTGAGGATAATTATTTTATTATTCTTGCATGATGATGATGATGATGATGATGGTGATCATCATCATCATCATCATCATCATCATCATCATTATCATTATCATCATCATCATGCACTAACAATATAATAATAACAATAATATTAATATTAATAATGATATTAATAATAACATAATAATAATAATAATAATAATAATAATAATAATAATAATAATAATAATAATAATAATAATAATAATAATAATAACAACAATAACAATAACAATAACAATAACTTGACTATTTCATCAGTCATATCAATGACAATATAATAAAAAAGTAAAAAAAAAAAATCCTTGCAATTCCAATAACAACAAAAACAACACTAATTAAAACAATAAAAAATGTAACGAAAAAATAACAGGAAAAACCTAACGACCACCACCTGTCACTCACAGGCTGCGCGGGGGAGAGGGCCAGAGTGCCAACACCGACACCTTCTGTTGGCACCGGCACAACCACCAGCCCAGCCATGAGCAATACAGGTCGGTGTCACGTCCTGCAGTGCTCCTTCGTGTCGTCTGTCGTGTCTGTGTCGTGTCGCCTGTCGTGTCGTGTCGTGTCGTGTCATGTCTGTGTCGTGTCGTGTCGTGTCTGTGTCATGTCTATGTCGAGTTGTGTCTGTGTCGTGCCATGTCGTGCCATGTCGTGTCTATGTCGTGTCTATGTCGTGTCATGTCTATGTCGTGTCATGTCTATGTCGTGTCATGTCTATGTCTCATGTCTATGTCGTGTCGTGTCTGCGTCGTGTCGTGTCGTGTCTGCGTCGTGTCGTGTCGTGTCTGCGTCGTGTCGTGTCTGCGTCGTGTCGTGTCTGCGTCGTGTCGTGTCGTGTCTGCGTCGTGTCGTGTCGTCGTGTCGTGTCTCGTCGTGTCGTGTCTGCGTCGCGTCGTGTCTGCGTCGCGGCTGTGACGAGTTCGTAACGCGTCGAGTCCTGTCACGTCGCATTCACGTCGAATCGTACCTTGTTCATCCCGTTCGTGTCTCTCAGTGCCACACCGCATGGGTCGTGTCATCATCTCACAGGAGGGGAGGGTAGGGGAGGGGGAATCTGGCCGGGGGGGGGGTTGAGTCATCCAAGCTATTCACGAGGTGGGATATGAGATCAGGTGACATCAGATGACGTCAGATAGTACCAGGTAGGTGCTATCTGTCACTGCATGAAGTACGCGCGGGGCAACAAAGATACATATGCGGTTCAGAGAGGTGGGGAGGGGGAGGGGGGGGTAAAGGGACAGAAAGAGATGTGGATGGATGAGGCAAAGGAAAAAAGGGATATTGATAAACAGAGAAAGACAGAAAAGAGAAAAGAGAGAGAGAGAGAGAGAGAGAGAGAGAGAGAGAGGAGAGAGAGAGAGAGAGAGAGAGAGAGAGAGAGAGAGAGAGAGAGAGAGAGAGAGAGAGAGAGAGAGAGAGAGAGAGAGAGAGAGAGAGACGACGAAAGGGAGATGGAGAAAAAGGAGTGAAGGAGGAATAAAAGGGAATGAGTGACTTATTATATGAATTGCGATTTCTGAACTGTTACAAAAACTCGAAGTAGACCTAATTAAATATATAAATCAAATAATAATAATTATAATAGATAACAGAAAAAATATCAATGAAAATAACATCAATAATGAAAACATTAAAAGTGCAAAAGGACGAACGAGATCGAAATAATAAAAACAATAACAATAATAATGATAATATAATAATAATAATAATAATAATAATAATAATAATGCAACAACAACAACAACGACTATAATAATAATAATAATAATAATAATAATAATAATAATAATAATAATAATAATAATAATAATAATAATAATAATAATAATAATAATAATAATAATAATAACAATAATAACAATAATAACAATAACAACAACAACAAAACAAATTAAAAAATGAAAAAATGCAACCTCTCCCAAAGTGGCCACATGCAAGAAAACGCATGAACGTGAAAGTGAACAGGCAAGCTCCTCATATTGCAAATGCTCGTGAAGAGATGGGCGTGTCTGATACTATTTTTAAGTATATCTTTTAAACAACAGCCGAAAAATCGACCAATTTAACATATACTTAAACTTATACATGTACATATATATCATACATCTTATATCATGTTAATATACCATGTAGTCACATATCATATATTGTACATTACATACGCATACATACATACATACATACATTCATATATATATATATATATATATATATATATATATATATATATATATATATATATATATATATATATATATATATATATATAAAATGCATATCCATAAAACATATACACATAAACATACATGCATATATACACATACATATACACATACATACACATACACCTACACATAACCCTCCGCGCTACGCCCATACAGCTATAAATACATACATACATACAAATGCGTCTAAATATATATATATATATATATATATATATATATATATATATATATATATATATATATATATATATATATATATATATATTCCTATTACCATCCTGGCACTCGGCACTAAATGGCAATGCCAAAAAAGAAACCTGCATATACGTGTTGAAAGAATAAGAATTCTCAAATTTCCTCTTCCTCTCCTTCCTATCTCTTCCACCTCCTTTACCTTCACTTCGTTCTCCTTTCCGTTCTACCCTGCCAATGCACTTATAGCTCTTTCTCCTACTGCTGTTTCTGCTGCTTCTCCATCTACTTCTAATTCTCCTCCTCTTCCTTTTCTTTTCTCCTCTCTTCTCTTCTTCTTCTTCTTCTTCTTCTTCTTCTTCTTCGTACTCCTCCTCCTCTTCTTCTTCCTCCTCCTCCTCCTCCTCCACCTCCTCCTCCTCCACCTCCTCTTCACTCTTCCTCCACCTCCTCCTTCACTTTCTTCCTCCACCTCTTCCTCCATCTCCTCCTCCCCCTCCCACCCCTCCTCCTCCTCCACCTTCTCCTCCTCCTCCTCTTCCTCCTTCCATCCTCCTCCCCCTTCCACTCTATCATACCTGCTTTGCTCTCGTCTCCTCCCGCTGCATTGTGGGATGCTCCGGTGAGACTCGGGATGCTGGAGGAAAGGAGATGAGTGATGGAGACGAGCCCCGTCATGAACATGGTCTCAGCATCAGGGTACTTTTAGAAGGGGTATGTTTCTCCCTTTTCTTCTCGTTCTCCTTTCTATTCTCTTTCTTCTTCTTTTTCTTCTACTTTTTGACCTGCCTTTTCCTCTTTTTGGGAATTGTATGTTCTCCCTTTTATTCTCCTCTCCTCCTTCTTCTTCTTCTATTTTTCCTCTCCTGCCTTTTCCTCTCTTTGATTTTTCAACTTCTCGCCTTCACAACTCTTTTTTTGTCTTTCTCCTTATCTGTTCTCCATCTTGTACCACCACTACTCGTTCACGTTCACGTTCTTTTTCCGATTTCTTCTTCTCTCTCTCTCCCTTTCCCTCGTCCTCTCTCGCTCTCACTCACACGCATACTGATGGGGTTGTCATCCCCAGGCAACCTCTTCCAACCACAACCCTCCTCCTCTGATGCCCCTCCCCCCCCCCCACACCCCTACCCCAATACCCTCCCCTGCCCGCGAAATGTCACCCAGATACAACCCCCTCAACCAGTGTCCCCTCGTTCAAAGCCCCTCTTCCCTCTCTCTCCTCTACTCTACTCTCCTCCCTTCCCCTCCTCCCCTTCCTGCTCCTCTCCCTCCCTCCCTCCCCTTCCTGCTCCTCTTCCTGCTCCTCTCCCCTCCCCTCCCCTCCCCTCCCCTCCCCTCCCCTCTCCTCTCCTCTCCTCTCCTCTCTCTCCTCTCCTCTCCTCTCCTCTCCTCTCCTCTCCTCTCCTCTCCTCTCCTCTCCTCTCCTCTCCTCTCTCTCCTCTCCTCTCCTCTCCTCTCCTCTCCTCCCTTCTCCTCCTTCCCTCCCCTCCCTCCCCTCCCTCCCCTCTCCCCTCCCCTCTCCTCCCTTCCCTTCTCTCTCACCTCGGCCCTCTTCTTCTGACGACATAAAGCTCACGTGGATAAACATGTCTTATTTCCTTGTCTTTTTCTCCTCTTTATCAATGTCTATCAATGTTCCTCTTTATCAATGTTTATCAATATTTTCCTTCTTCCCTATGTCTCTATCCTACCTTTGATTTTTTTTCGTAATTCGCCCCCAACTCTCTCTCTCTCTCTCTCTCTCTCTCTCTCTCTCTCTCTCTCTCTCCTCTTCTCTTCTCTCTCTTCTCTCTCTCTCTCTCTCTCTCTCTCTCTCTCTCTCTCTCTCCTTTCTCTTTCTCTTTCTCTTTCTCTTTCTCTTTCTCTTCTCTTTTCTCCTTTCTCTTTCTCACTCTCACACTCTTTCTCACTCTCACACTCTCACACTCCTCACACTCTCACACTCTCACACTCTCACACTCTCACACTCTCACACTCTCACACACTCTCACACTCTCACACACTCACACACACTCCACACTCTCACACACACTCACACACTCAC